TCTGTTTATGTTCATTTCTATGACAGTGTCTCTCAGAAGTGTATCCCCAGTGGGGCTCACCCTCTTGACACTTTATTATTGGTTTCATTACTTTTTGGTAAATGAAACCCAGGGGTGTGGAACCTACAGGAAAAGAAAATTTGACAAGGGTTTGGGGGAAGGGGCATATGGAGGGGTGGGGGAGACAAGAGGAAGATGATGCCTAGATGTCTAGGAAGAAAAAGTATGTTTTGGAAAACTATTATTATGCAAGAAATTGTACAATTGGGTTTGACATGATTGAACTATGGAATGATATGACATGTATTAGCTTCCAACTTACAGCAAATTAATTTTAAAAATAAAAGCATAGATCCAGGAATAGGGTTTTGGGCTTTTACTAAATCCTAGCTCCAAATTAAGAACAATCAGTTCTTATATGTCAGTGCCCTGCCCTATACTCACCTTCATGATATGATCACTAAAGTTAAGTGTGCTACAGAAAAGTGTGGTGAAGAAAGCAGATGGTGCCTGGCTATCAATCAGAATAGTGTCTGGGGTCTTTAAGGCTTGTATTCAAACAAACAGCTCTATAAGTGAGGAGTCAACTAAGTCCACTTGGAAGAAGCACACCAGCTTCTGTGATCCAAAAATGACAATTAAAAAATCTAAATATGGTGAAAAGAAAAGCATCAGAGCAAAAATTATGAACACCCAATTTGTGGAGGGCGATAGGGGACAGTGGGAGCCCCAAACTCAGCTACAGAGAATCTGGTCAGAGTGAGCCACTGTCAGATCCACTCTGGCCACAGGCGAGAGTCTCAATCAGCCTTACTATCGGACAGAGACCATTGTAATTTTGATTGTACTGGATCCAACTTGAGACTTGGCCAGTTGACCACTCTATAATGCAACCCAAATTGTTTAGGGGTACAAGAATCTCTTACTGGTTCTGTGTCACAAATTTTTTCCTTGGCCTTTTGAATATTGTTGGGGGTCTTTTCCTTCTTATGCATTATCAATATTTTTATCTGTATACTGTTATGTTATCACCCTTACCAATTTGGCACAATTTTGTTTTTTATTGGGTCTCCCAGCTGTGAAGTCCTGAAAAAGTGGATGCATAATAATAATAACATATATAAGGGGAGAGAGGGGATAAAAAGGTGGGTGGGTGAGAGAGAGAAAGGGAATTTGGGAGTAACTAATGAAGATGGGAGGGGAGGGAGCACTAGACGATTTGTGATAAATCATGTTAAAGGCCATTTAACCATGGGGGGGCCCTAAAATGTATGTGGGGTAGATTGTACAGTTCTCCTTGATATGATTGAATGACTAAACTATTGAATTATATGGTATGAAAATTATTTGCCAATCAAACTGTTGAATAAAAAACATTAGTGGATAAAATATGGGGAATTAAGAAATTTGATTTAAAAGCTTTCTTAAAGTTTTCAGAATTTCTTCTCTTTATTGTGTGGTATGTTTTAAGCACAAACTCTTCACAATTTAACTTATATAACTTAAATAGTTAACATTTGAACTATTCGTTTTACTTAGAGAAATATTCAATTAATTACTCATTTCCACTGGCAAACATACATATCTACAAATTAATATTAAAAAGTGATATTTTAATGTTTCTAATGGAACTTGCATTTCCCATGATGGAAGCATTGGGTAAAATATCACTCGGGTTTACAGAAATCCTGTCTTTACACCTAGCAGAGAGAATACTCTGGTTCCAGTTGCTAAATTGTAAATGCTCTTGATAGGTTGATCAATGATGATAAAATTGGTTCATGCGAGTAAATTTCATGAAGTACTGACTAACTTCAGCAAGAAGCTAGTTTCTTCAGCAAGAAGCTAGCTTCCCTCTCAAGAGTACTAATAATTTTCTGTTGCTTCAGTGATAAGAGAAATGCCAGATTTTATCAGGCAGTTCATATACTTCTATTTTATTCTGACTACAATGATCACAAGTCTTCATTTTTCTCTTTCCAGGGACAGAAGCAACTCTGAGTCCAACTATCGGAAATCACATTCAGCCTCAAAACCCCCAACTGTATCCAGTTCCGTGTTTTGGAGCCCTAGGTCCCCCACCTCCATATGAAGAAAACATAAAAACAAGCAGACTCTAAATCTGGATCATCAATGGACAGATTAGAGATACTTCAAATTCCAAAACCTTAATGTAAGCTCAAGACTTTCATTTAGTGTAAATTCCCAGAGAGCAATTGATATGTTGAATTTTATAAAAGGATACTAAAACAAAAAGGTGAAGTAGGGGGCAAAATTAGTGCAGAGATGGTTTCTATAGTGAATGAATGGACTCTTGACATACTAATTTGTATTGTGTTGTAACTTTTAGGCCACACAAATAAGTTAATGTTTCTTCACTGATACCCAGATATGGAATAATTAGGTGCATGAAGGAGTTTCACTTATTAAATTTAGGATCCCAATCCAGTACATATCATAGTTCTCTGCCTTAATATGTTCATTTAATATAGTCTCTATCATGGAGCCAATAAAATATATTATAATTTAGAAATGACCCAAGAAAAGATTCATTTATCTTCAGTCCCAGAGCCAGAAAGATTATATTCTAATGAGTGTAAATAGGTAGAGTGTATGAAGAAGAAATGATTGAGGTAGAATACTGATGATGAATGAAGAAGATTGACTAGAAGTCTCAAGTCAAGGGGTTACATATCTCAGCCTGAGGAGGGGCAAGGTATTGGTATAAGCTGGTGGGGATTACTTGAGATATGGAAGCCCATGTAATACCACTATGGACAGAAAATGGAGAAAAACCCACGAGTAAATGTCGCATGAGTTCACAGCTTTTCTCTCAAGTAACAATGAGACATCTTCAATAGGCTTTTGGCAGTGACCACTAGCAAGAACCAATACTCACTGCCATTGAGTCAATTCTGACTCATTGTGAACCTATAGGTAGGGTAAAACCAATACTGTGGGTTTCTGAGACAGGAACTTTTTACAGGACGAGAAAGCCTCATCCCTCGGAGTTGCTGATAGTTTCAAACTGCTTACTTTGCAGTTAGTAGTCCATTACATTGCCCACTAAGCCACCAAGTTTTAGTGTTACTGTGAGTTGGAACTGACTCCACAGCACCAAACAACAACAACAGCCAGAAGCCCTGGTGGGCTGCTAACTGCCAGGTCAGCTGTTTGAACCCACCAACTGCTCCTTAAGAGAAAGATGAGGCTTTATGCTACCATAAAGAATTACAGCCTCTGAAGATAAACAAGCAGCCATCTAGCTCAGAAGCAGCAAAGCCCACATGGAAGAAGCACACCAGCCTGTGTGACCATGAGGTGTCAAAGGGATCAGGTATCAGGCATCAAAGAACAAAAAATCATATCATTGTAAATGAGAGGGAGTGCAGAATAGAGTTCCAAAGCCCATCT